GAAATTGAAGTTTCATTTATGGAATGGGTAATTTATATTGGGAATGAAAGGTCCTTCCACTGAGAAGTAAATTTGCAGCAATTTCTGTAGATGCTGTGGGTAAAACAGTACCACCACGACCTCTAATATAATGTATTAAAACTTTATAAAGATATGCCTCCACACTCCGAGGGCTGGTTCCTGCCTCAAACCTCGCCCTCCTGGGAAACAGGCTTGGCAAGGCGACCCAGGACTCAGTGCGTCCATGCTCTGAGGGCTGGTTTCTGCCTCAAACCTCGCCCTTACCGGAAACAGCTCGGGGAGGGCACAGCTGTTGCTAAGAGGACCCAGGACTCAGTGCATCGACACTCCGAGGGCAGGTTCCTGCCTGAAACCTCGCTGGTGGGAAACAGCTCGGGGAGGGCACAGCCGTTTCCAAGATGACCCCTGCAGGACTGACTGCCTTCCGGTTGGTCGAGCTTCAGACATGAGGCGTTACACCCAGGGTTTTTATATAAATAGATGGTTTTCTTAAACATATAAAGAAAGCTCTTCAATATGTTATTTAAAAAATGTTAATCAGCCATGGTCCTGATGACTGGGAATATATTGGTGAGCATTAAAGATCTCTTCTTTGTTCTTTTACAGCTTCTAGGTAAATGGGGATACAGAAAAGTAATTAATTATAAGGTAGTGGGGTAATAGTATAGATGTATAGGATACTAGGAGGGTATAGATGAAAAATTCTTAACAAAAATAATAGGAGGGGTCAAAGAGGTTTCCTGGAGAATGTGACATATAACATGAGATCTGAAGGATTACAAGTGAGCCAGACCAGGGAAATGGAAAAATTCATAAGAGAGAAAAAAAAAAGGTGAAGGCCTGAAAAGTAAGAGAGATAGAATTTGGTATATCCGTCGACCTGAAAGACATTTAGTATGCCTGGATCAACACAACAGTTTTGTATGTGTGAGTGTGCAGAGGTGGGGGGAGGTGGGGGTAGGGGAGCATTTGTGATCAATAATTAAGGTTGATTAATTAGAGCCAAATACTTTGCTGTTTTTGGATGCTTATTGGGCACTCTAAACTGAGTATTACTCTATAACTAGAAATATATGAGAAATTGGTATTGGTTTTTTAATGGTCGATTGAGAGCCTGGTAGACAGTGATATGTCAGATTTACTAGTAGGAATGCAGTCTTATATTTTTACAAGTAGCTTTTTAAAAATGTATAACCTCATGCTGTACTTTTTATATAACTCTTCAGTTGAATTCTTATGTTAACCTAGTTCAGGTTATTTTTGTGTTCCTCTTCAGTCCTTTTTGACTATCTTTAAAGGAAGAGTTGAATCTTTAGTGTAGGTCTTGCAGGTCTTTTAATTAGAATTAAACTGCAAAAAGTTTTTATGTTTTCTTCCTACTGGTACTACACTCAACAATACTTCCTGAGAACTTTATGTAGATCAGTAGAGAAGTTTATATAAAGTACTTTTTTTAGTCTACCACTTACTGTTTGTCAATCACTTAGGAGTTTAACTGTGAACTAGAAATAGAGTAGCAGTTTATGGCCAATATATATTGTGTAATGTGAAATGGACTATGCAAATATGTGTATATGTATGTACATACACATGCACACATATGAATTTACTTTTTTATAAAAAATAATACCCAGGCTATCTTCTGAATCTTTTTAAATTTATGTTTTCTGATTTTGTGGTAATATGGTCTAGTACAGTGGTTCTCAACCTTCCTAATGCTGCGACCCTTTAATACAGTTCCTCATGTTGTGGTGACCCCCAATTTCATTGTTACAAATTGAACATAATTAAAGCATAGTGATTAATCACAAAAACAATATGTAATTATATATGTGTTTTCCGATGGTCTTAGGCGACCCCTGTGAAAGGGTCGTTCAACCCCCAAAGGGGTCACGACCCACAGGTTGAGAACCGCTGGTCTAGTAGAATAAACATTAATTTAGATTTGGGAAGGGGTTGAAATTATTTCATCTATAAAAATAAAAGAGTAATATTCTAATTAGACTGGATGTCCTTCCAGACGATGCTGGGACTTCGAGGGAAGCTTGGGTCCCAGGTGCCAGAGGGAAGCCAGTGCTGGCAGCTAGGGGAAGGAAGGCCTACTCTTGCACGAATTTCGTGCATTGGGCCTCTAGTTATATATATATATATTTTCCAATAGAAACCCAAATGTATAATTTGGGGTGGATTTAGGTTCATATCTGCTTTAATAATTTCTCCAAGATAGATTTGGTTTGTTCATTTTAAATATGGATAAGTCAAAGTGCAAAGATTATACAGCTCTTTAAGGTCACACGACTATCAAAATTGGAACCTCTAAACACAGTAAAGTTCTGATAACCTGCTAATCCAGTGGTTCTCAACCTTGGCTGTGCATTAGAATCACCTGGGAATCTTTTTAAAATCCTGATATCTTGGCCTCATCCTCCGGAAATTCTGCTTTGTTATGATGGGGTGGGGCCACAACATTAGTAACAAAGAAACAGAATTTCCGGAGGATGAGGCCCAGAAATCAGGATTTTAAAAAGATTCCCAGGTGATTCTAATGTGCAGCCACGGTTGAGAACCACTGTGCTAATCAATCTTTTTTCAGTAGAATTTTGAAGGTTGGTCTATTTTCAAAATGATGATAAAATACAAAATGATGATATGAAAATTAAATGTAAACAGATTGCAAAGGTTGAATCAGAAATATTTTTATGGACCTGCCAATATTAATTATATTAGTAAGATTGTGTTTATTCTTTAGTAATTCCAGAGCTTACACAGAGAGTCAAATAGTTGTTGAATGAAAGAACACTTTACACCTAGATGGTCTTAAAGGTATTTCTCAGGACACATTTGTTTTTAATTTAAATCAATATTATCATTTCCTTTTATTTGAGAAAACTGAAGGCTCATTAATTAGGAAAGCATTGTAGGTCAATTTTTTCAATTTATCTATGGCAATGACCTGTAGAAAGTAGTGACAGAAGACCTTCCAGTTGTGTTTTATTCCTGGTGGCTGTTTCTATTTTAAAGATTAGATGCTTGCTGCCATTTATTTTTTCTCTGCCTTTTGATATTTTGTCACAATGCTTAGAATCCCTAGATCACTGCCACTTCTTTAACGAATATTTATTGAGCACTATTAGAGCTGAATACTTTGTAGTTATAAGTAAGACATACTTGGTCTTGGCTGATTTGGAGTTATAATCTTAGTGGAGAAAGGCAGGCTTTAAACTAGTATGTCAATATTGAATTAATTGCAATTGGGGTAACTTTTTGAGGGAAAAGGTTTTGAGTAAATTTATAGTGGTATCAAGAGGCTTAAACAAAATTCAAAATTATGGACAAGAGCTACTCTCACACTAAATGGCCATAAACCTTTGTTGGCCCAGAATCTGAAGTAATTTGAGCTGATTTAAAAAAGAAAAGTCACAGACAATCCTGTGACACAATTTTTGTTTTTAGATCTTTTTTAAAAAAATATTTTTTTATTGATTTCAGAGAGGAAGGGAGAGGTCGTGAGAGATAGAAACAATGATGAGAGAGAATCGTTGATCCGCTGCCTCCTGCAAATCCCACATTGGGGATTGAGTCTGCAACCTGGACATTTGCCCTGACCGGGAATCAAACCTGCAACCTTCTGGTTCATAGATCGATGCTCAACCACTGAGCCATGCTGGCTGGGCAGTTTTGACTTTCTTTAAGGAATCGGGAAAATGTGTTACAAAACTCCATGTTTACTTCCTAATGCCGAAGTAAGCTTGAAGAACCAGGGAAAAACTTTGGCAGGGAGTGGAAGGGGATGGGGACATTTAATTTTTCTGTCCCACTCCAGATCTATAGAATCAGAATTTCTGAGGGTGGATCACATCTTTATTCCCAGGTGATTTTGATGATCAAATAGATGTTGGGACCACTGTTGGGATATCCCAAGAATTGATTGACTTCAGAATTAGAAAAATAGCATCAATTTTAGTTGTCCTTATATCCAAACTAGTGGCCCAGTGCATGAAATTCGTGCACATTAAAAGGGGATTAATTAGAGGAAATATTTTAATATTGCTATTTTCCCTTTCTCTATAATAGAAGTGTCAGAGATGAAAGAAAATTAGTAAAATGTATATGAAAATCTTCCTCTTGTCAGAGTCTGGGGAGTGCTGCGGGACCCAGAGTCAAGTTCCTGCACACTCGTGGCGCCTCAAAATTGCACGAGACCCAGACCCAACTGGCCCCACCCTCATTGGGTGAGATCCAGACCCGGCCGGCCCCACCCTTGTCAAGCCCCGGGGGACGCACCCTCAGGTCCCCCATCAAGCCCTGCCAGGCGGGGGGCGCAAGCTCAGGTCCCCCAGCGCACCCTCAGGTCCCTCGGCCTGGTGCCGGGGTGAGGGGAACGGCCTGAGGTCCCCCGTCAAGCCCCTCCAGGCAGGGGGTGCAGCCTCACGTCACCCAGGCCGGGGTGGGGGGTGTGCCTTGAGGTCCCCGTCAAGCCCCATGGGTGAGGGGTGTAGCCTGAGGTCCTCTGTCAAGCTCCGCCAGGTGGGGGGCGCTGCCTCAGGTCCTCCCCCAGCCTGGTGCCAGGGCCAGGGGTGAGACCTGAGGTCCCCCGGCGCAGGGGCGGGGGTCACGGCCTGAGGTCCCTGCTGATTTCTCGTTAAGGCTTGTTACGGGAACTGGGCCTCTGCAGTGAGCGCAGCCATCTTGTGTTACGGAATCCTTGCCTCTGTGGGTGCAGCCATCTTGACCATTACGGCATGATGGTCAATTTGCGTATTACCTCTTTATTAGATAAGATAATAGAAGGATTTTTGCTTAAAGCTTAGTTTATAAATAAATTGTGAATAATACATTGTGGTAATAATTGGAAATGTCTATATAACATTTTTAACAAGTAAAACTGCACTTTTGGATTCTCAACAATGGTTGTTCAGTTTAAAAGTAGATATTGAAGTTACCTTTTGTGTAAAGTTTTCTTTTTCCCCCCTCCTTAGGAACTAAACAACTGAAACACATTTTATTAAAAGATGTGGACACTATTTTTGAATGTAAATTATGCCGAAGTCTCTTCAGAGGATTACCAAATTTAATTACCCACAAAAAATTCTACTGCCCACCAAGTCTCCAGATGGATGACAGTAAGTTTCAGTCATTTATTCAGTTATGCATTTTACGATTAAGTATTCTTAAATTACAACTATGTTTGTGTTAAATTATGGATATCCACTTATGGATAATTTAATGATAGAGAATAAAATTAAATACTTAACTCAGTGTTATATTCAGTTTCTTAGATATGGACTTTTATACTTGTGCTTTTCACTTGAATTTTCCTATAGATATATGAGGTTAGATTTATGAGTATATTTATTTGTATTAAAATATTGAATATTGTTTTTGAATGTTCATATGGATCATATAGTTTATAGTCAGGATTTATGTAAGTTACAATACTAATTCTTGAAGGGGATATTGGTATTTTTCGTCTTTAACATCTTGTTACCAGATATGACTGATAATTTACTAAGATTCCTCTTAAGTAATGAGAAGGTTGGGAATAGAGCAAAGAAAGAATGAGTAAATGATTTCATGGGAGTGTTAATCTTTCTACTGTTTTCTGGGTCTTGATTTGAAGATCAATTTTGTTCTCTGTGAAATTTATTTAAATCAGTCATTTTACCAGAAATTAGATTGTATTATGGGTTAACTTGAGATCTGAAATAACTTAATGTGAGGAAGGCAGATAGTAGGCCAATAAAGTGTTTGTGGAACCAAATGTTTGTTGAATTAAGTGTATTGCCCCTGTATAATTAGGTTGCTGTAATGGTGTTGTTTTCTTGCTTTAAAGAACTCATGTAAATTCCTTAAAATATTTTAGTAATAGCTTACTTTCATAATTTTTTGTTCAGGGATTTAACTCTTGTGGGCTTACAAAATACAGAACTTGTTTTGCCAGTGTGATACTATATTGCATTATGGATTTTGTGCGTTTTTCAACTTATGGGATGGGATTGAAATATAAACTTCAAATATCAGCATGAGACTGATTTAAAGCATTATAAGACATAAGTGAAATAAAAATTTTATATTTGGATACTGCTGTTAGAGCTACATACTATTTTTTAATTGAGACATAAATGAAAAGATTATAAAAAAGATATCATTGAGATATAAATGAAAAGTCTATAAACATTAGTTTCAAATCTAACTTTTTAAGTAAAGTACCATTAAAAATAAATTAATCCCTAACCGGTTTGGCTCAATGGATAGAGTATCGGCCTGCAGACTGAAGGGTCCCAGGTTCGATTCCGGTCAAGGGCATGTGCCTTGGTTGCGGGCATGTCCCCAGTGTGCAGGAGGCAGCTGATTGATGTTTCTCTCATCGATGTTTCTGGCTCTCTGTCCCTCTCCCTTCCTCTCTGTAGAAAATCAGTGAAATATATTTAAAAATAAATTAATTTTCTGGTAGTTAATCCTTGTTATTTTTTAGTATGACTTAGGGAAATACAGGGTGTGGCAAAATTAGGTTTACAGTTGCGAGTATGTGAAACGAGTTTATTCTTATATTATTATTTATTAATTATTGTATTATTTCCATACAAACAACTTTTGCCTAAATGCTGTAGGTAAATGGATTTGCAGGATTAGTGTGCTCTCTTCTTGGCAATATACTCATTCTAGAGATACTGTTGTGAAAGTGTTATTCTTCTTGTAGACACTTCATCCATTTTAAAAAGGAAGTACATGAGAAGAGCTATATTGAATCATATCTTGTTTTCTAAACCGATAATTTGATGCTATATTTAATAAGTAACAGCTAGAATTTAGAGTTGTATGTGGAAACCTAACTAGTGTTAGACAACTCTGTTCCAATAGTAATATTTAGTTGCCTATAGAGGGTGTAATTATTGTACAAGTAAATAAAACTAACTGTTTTTGGAATAAATCTATAGTTTTTAATCATTTGTTTTAATATAATTGTTTCATGTTAAGGAGACACATAATAGGACTGTTATGTTACTCATGTTTATATATTTTCCTACGAATTTTCTTTTTCATTTCCATAAGTATGTCTCCATGCAGTTAGAATAGTTAATTTGTTATGGATAAGGTTAATAGGAATGCTGTTACATTTTCTAAAAAAATTATTTTTATATGTAGTAACATTCTTCATTATGTTTTATTCATTTTGGGTAATGAGAACTTTGATTGCCTAAAAATATGAAATATTTTATTGTTTAGGATGCCCATGTGCTTATATATTTTATATTAAGGGCACTTAAAAGTGGAAGTAGCTCTTCTGTTGCATCTATTTCTTATGATTTGCATACTATGTTGAGGTCTTAAAGCAAATTTTAGTTTAATACTAGTTTTTATCTTCATAAAATACTGAAAAGAGATAATGCTGTTATGAAAATGAACATGAACCAGAAATATAAATTTTAAGATAGCCATTCATAATACATTAAAAAATATTAGAAGGCTATATATAGCAGGCTAATTATTCCGGATTAAAATGTTGTTATTTTTTCTTAACAGACCTTCCTGATGTAAATGATAAACAAAGCCAAGCCATAAATGATCTCCTAGAAGCCATATATCCAAATGTGGACAAGCGAGAATATATTATTAAGCTAGAACCCATAGAAACTAATCAAAATGCAGTGTTTCAGTATATTTCAAGGACTGATAATCCTACTGAAGTCACAGAGTCAAGCAGTACTACTCCTGAACAAACTGAAGTTCAAATACCGGAAAGTGACACTGAACATTCTAAAACAGTACCAGTTACAGTTACAGAGGTGGAAACTGTAGAGCCCCCTCCTGTTGAGATGGTTGCAGATGAAGTTGCACCCACATCTGATGAACAACCTCAGGAATCACAGGCTGACTTAGAAACTTCTGACAATTCTGATTTTGGTCACCAGTTGATATGTTGTCTTTGTAGAAAAGAATTTAATTCCAGACGAGGTGTTCGTCGTCACATTCGAAAAGTACATAAGAAAAAGATGGAAGAATTAAAAAAGTACATTGAGACACGAAAGAATCCAAACCAAACCTCTAAAGGACGCAGTAAGAATGTTCTAGTTCCATTAAGTAGGAGTTGTCCAGTATGTTGTAAATCATTTGCTACAAAAGCGAATGTAAGGAGGCATTTTGATGAAGTTCATAGAGGACTAAGGAGGGATTCAATTACTCCTGATATAGCAACAAAGCCTGGGCAACCTTTGTTCCTGGATTCTGTTTCTCCTAAAAAATCTTTTAAGACTCGAAAACAAAAGTCGTCTTCAAAGGCTGAATACAATTTAACCGCATGCAAATGCCTCCTTTGCAAGAGGAAATATAGTTCACAAATAATGCTTAAAAGACATATGCAAATGGCCCACAAGATAACTCTTTCTGGGACAAACTCTAAAAGAGAGAAAGGCCCTAATAATACTGCCAACAGTTCAGAAATAAAAGTTAAAGTTGAACCAGCAGATTCTGTAGAATCTTCACCCCCTTCCATTACCCATTCTCCACAGAATGAATTAAAGGGAACAAATCATTCAAATGAAAAAAAGAACACACCGGCAGCACAGAAAAATACAGTTAAACAAGACTCTGAAAGCCCTAAATCAGCCAGTCCGTCTGCTGCAGGTGGCCAGCAAAAAACCAGGAAACCAAAACTTTCAGCTGGCTTTGACTTTAAGCAACTTTACTGTAAACTTTGTAAACGTCAGTTTACTTCCAAACAGAACTTGACTAAACACATTGAGTTGCACACAGATGGGAATAACATTTATGTTAAATTCTACAAGTGCCCTCTTTGCACTTATGAAACTCGTCGGAAGCGCGATGTGATACGACATATAACTGTGGTTCATAAAAAGTCATCCCGCTACCTTGGGAAAATAACAGCCAGTTTGGAGATCAGAGCTATAAAAAAGCCCATTGATTTTGTTCTAAATAAAGTGGCAAAAAGAGGCCCTTCGAGGGATGAAGCAAAACATAGCGATTCAAAACATGATGGCACTTCTAACTCTCCTAGTAAAAAGTATGAAGTAGCTGACGTTGGTATTGAAGTAAAAGTCACAAAAAACTTTTCTCTTCACAGATGCAATAAATGTGGAAAGGCATTTGCCAAAAAGACTTATCTTGAACATCATAAGAAAACTCATAAGGCAAATGCTTCCAATTCACCTGAAGGAAACAAAACCAAAGGCCGAAGTACAAGATCTAAGGCTCTTGTCTGGTGAGGAACAGTTAACAGAGTTTTGCTTTTTTCTCCCCATCGAACTAAAAAAATCATTTGACCATAATTTATAGCTGGTTCCATTTTAACACATTTGCTTCCATATATCTTATGGCAATGGGAACTGCAAGAGTGATGCACATATTGCATTTCCTCTTCAGTGACCTTTATTCCAGTGGCTTGGGAACAAAAGTTAACTTCAGAACTTATCTTCCACAGGACAATGCAATATAGTTATAGGTAGATGGCACAGGGTCAGTGCTTTCCTCTCTATGTTGTAAAATAATACATTTATATTGGCTTATGTTTACAATAGAAGTCTTCTGTTTAACTTTGCACAGGTTTAATTTGATTCAGTGACTTAGTCTACTAATAAATGCATTGTAGAAAAGTTAAATATATTAGAATGAATTTGTGAAGGCGATAATTATAGGAAAAAAGTCCTTTGAGGCACTGTAATTATTGTAAAAATTAATCTGACAGCTAAGTAAAGTGCTGCACTCAGAAAAAAAAATCCCCAAATTGAATTTAAAATGATTAGCATTATTATTTACATTTAACATAGTGCTTCTAGGCAAAGGGGGAAACGATAAAAGTTTGGAATTTCTTTTTCCTTCTCCTTGGGAGTATGTGTCAGTTACCATTTTTAAGTTTGATCTATGAGAAGAATGATTACTTAGATCCCAAATCCTCTTATTTTTCCCTTTTTGCTTAAATGACCTTTTTGGTAATCAGTTAAAAAATATAGTTAATATTATTAAATAGGGATTAAAAAAATTTTTTTTTTGGTGTGGTTGTGCGTTGTAAGAAAAGTGAAATCCCTGTTGGGAAAAAAGAAAAAATAATACTTAGGAGGTTTTGGAACAAATGTAGATTTTTAAAATGACAATATAAAATAAGGAGTAGATTCCCTATCCTTGTTTTTTCAAGTCTCTTTATATTTTAATTTAAAGTTTGCCTTCAGTACCTGTGTCCCCTGAGTTAAGGCAATTAATATATTTAATTAGTATTAAATTAGTTTTGGATTCAGGTTATAAAGAGTGCTGAGTAGGTTAAATGTTGTGGTTTGATTATAACATTTTTCTATTTTTGTGGAAAACTTGTGATGAAACCATTCTTTAGAAGTCATTTACTATTGTATAATTTTAAAAACAAGCTTTGATTGGTGAACTCAAAAGTGTTCATTTATTCCATTTCTCCTCAGATAACTTCAAGTGATGTACGAAAAGGTTTGGAGTTCATATTTGTGGAAAGACTTTAAATTGGTGTTAGAACCACTAAACGTCTTCAGATGGTACTATGAGAAAAAAAAAAAGAAAAAACATTTTCATAAATATTTGACTGTAACTGCTGTTTTCTCACTAAAAGGATAATTATCTAACCACTGTTTCAAAGGCACTGCCTTTCCCAGCACTTTCAAGTAGCTGTGACATTTACATATTGTCATCACAGTACATCAGCTAACCAGTGTCTACAAAAATGTTGCAAATTTTGTTTTTCAAACAATTTGTTGATTAAAGCGATCAACAGCCTGAAGAAAATAATCACCACTGGTGATTTTTAATTGACAAAGACTTGATATCTTAGTGATTTTAGTTTTGTTCCACTTTATTTGGCAAAATTGTCATCTGGATTGTACAGATACCTGGTTTCCTAGTGAGTGTATGTTAAGACCAAAAGACAAATTAGTATCAACACATACATATTTAGCTTACTAATTATTGGTAATTATTTTTACATTCATTTATTTCTAACTTGTTCTCCAGCACTTAAATGTTTGGAAGTTTCATTCGAAAATATATACTTACAGGAAAGTTCCAGTTCATTTTCACCCATGATCATTACATTTTTCATTTGTAAACATCTGAGGTTTTTATGAAAATTTAACATTCCCCTATTTTTCTTTAAATTTTATACAAAGCACTTTAATGATAGATGCAACTTAATTTTTCAGTTTCTATTTTTTTAAAAGACCACACATTTACTAATGTTAATATGAAGGTAGTAAATAGCTTACCGATATTTTATGGATGCAGACAATCCATGCACAACCACTTCTTATGATACTAGTTTATTTCTTTAAATATTGCTAAAAAAGGCAGGTGGGGGTGTAAACCCTGATTTTTTTTCTCCCAAGTAAAATCTGAAATGACCACTTTAGATATTTGATTCCTACTGTAAAATTTGGAAAATAATGAATTCTTGTTCATTTTTATAATCAAGATTTTAGGAAAAACAGAAGTACACCTATCTTTATGAAATTTTGGACAGGTTTTGTGTATCAATCTTTTGTACTTTCTAGGGAATATTTTATTTTTTAGTAATTTTTGTCAAATTATAATTTTAAAAGGTACAGCAGAGAATATACCATGTTTTTATATAGGTTCATACCTGTACTTAGGAGGGACCCTGTCCATCTATATACTTTTTGTATAAAATTTTAAAATGTTGAAGATCCACAAGGTCGTAATAAAATACTTCTATAGCTAGAGAAACATTTACCCTTCCCAGTGCTTTGCACTAAAATATACTGTGAAAGGAAACTAGAAAGACTGTAACTGTTGCTGGAAATGTTCTATATTGAATGTACATGCTCTTGTTGGAAAAATGTACTATATGTGATGGAAATAAACCAGACTTGGAGTTATTTCAGCTAAATGTGCTTCAACAAAGGTGCATTGGTTGAAACTTAAATGTTTTATTATCAATTTAAATTTATTCAGTGACTATGAGCAGCTACACTTGAATTATATCTTGATAGTTTTATTTTTAAAAATTAGAGTTATAATTTCTCTTTAATTTAAAAACAGATTTACTTTTCCACATATGGAAAACTTGTACTTATAGGTCTAACTTTAATGATTAATAGTGTAATATATTTAGGGAACTAAATGTGTAGGTGGTATTTCATTTATAAACCATCTTCTTTAGTTGCACATTATTAAACATGTATGTTTGACTTTTGCAAAGTGTTATCTTTTATGCATTCCTACACACAAGACATATTCCAAAGATATTTTCCAGACTTAAGTACCTATAATCAGTGAAAAGATAAGAGAATTCTTAAAAAGCTTGGGTTAGCTCTTTACTACAGCCTTTCATCTGTATGTCAGTCTTTTCTCTGCTTTTCTTCTTAAATACTGTATGGAAGAAAGAGGGGAGCCCAATTGCTGGAATTTTCTTACTTCACTCACCTGTTTCCACATGTTTTCTCTGTCATAACTCTAGGGCTACACAGCAGGAATTTAAAAGGAAAGACAGAGGGTACAAGGACTGTCAAAAATATGTGGGTCATTGAGAAAAAAATAGAACTTTGTCAGGACTGGTTTACATTAGAAGGGCCTAGAGAGATTAGGAATATTTATCATAATAGCCAAACTAACAGATCATGGCAAACATAGAAGTTAGTGGCTAAATTGGGACCAGTTTAAAAAGATAGAATGAACAAGTAAGAAGTGATTTGAAACTCTTTGTTCTTCCTATCCTTTCTGGTGTTCATTCTTATTTTTTGGTTTTATTTTGAATCTTGAACTCTGTCATCTCAGAGGCTTAGGGTTGAGCCTCTTGAGAAGAAGCCTAGGAAATTGATGCTGGAAACCATTTTGCATGTAGGCTATATAAACAAATATTGATAGCACTTTTTGTTCTTGGTGTAGGGAGGTAAAAGAACCATCAGAAACTGCTTATAATATATTAAGACGTATCTCTGGCTACAGATAATAACCACCTTTGCTGCTATTTGCTCAATTAAGAGTTTTTCTCTAGAATTTAACTCATCTTTCTTCCTGAAGATACGGTCCTCTCCTAAGTGTGATGAAAAGTAGAAACAAAAGATATGGCTTACACTTCAGTTTCCTAAGTTTGGATAGTACAAGTGAGGGCTGGATGAGGTATGGCCGACACTGGGCGGGTATTCATTACAGATGTACCTTGAATGCACAATGACTTGGTTCATGTCTCTTATTTTTTCTTCTTTATTCCCTATTTCAAGAGAAAAACCTTCTTGAAGAATATATACATATTCTTGAAAAATATATAAATTACCCATATTTAATTTTTAGCTTGGTTTTGTATATCTGAGTCAAGTTTTCTGTTGACACAGATTGCTTGCATTGTTTAAAAGTACCTTAATATTTTTTAGGAATATGTTATGTTGTTTTATGGTCAATAGGCTGTTCTCAGTTTGTTTTAAAGAGCCTGTGGATGCAGTAGCGGGGGGGTGGGGCGGGGGGGGAAGGGTTTGTTCCTTTGCTATGGCTTGAGGCTGTGGGTATAGAAAGAGGAGTTTCCCAGTAGGTGTTATGACAATTAGTTATGGAGATAGAGAGGCATAAGTGGATATCATTTACTGTTGTGAAGTTGTAAAAGATCTCTTCAAATAGCATGACCACTGAAGATGAGATAGAAATACTTCTAAAACTTTGGAAATGAGGTTTCTAGGTTTATTGCAGTGGCCTGTGGAAGTATTCCATATCCTTAGGAGTTTTAGAAGTTACTTATCTAATAGACTCCATAGATTACCAGAATTATGATTTAGCCATGATTCTGTTAGTTGATCTGAAACCATGCTCTAGGACAGCGGTTCTCAACCTGTGGGTCGCGATCCCTTTGGCAGTCGAACGACCCTTTCACAGGGGTCGCCTAAGACCATCCTGCATATCAGATATTTACGTTACGATTCATAACAGTAGCAACATTACAGTTATGAAGTAGCAACGAAAATAATTTTATGGTTGGGTCACAACATGAGGAAGGTTGAGAACTACTGCTCTAGGATATGTGTAGCATGCTGTTGGCTGTGCTGTTAGACAAAATCCTTCAGTACTCTCTTATTCTTTTCCTCTTCTCTTACTTTAAGAGCTAATGGAAACCTCAGGATTGAAGAGGAGTAGGGATCAGCAGTCTAAGAACTGTTATTAGTTGTTTGGTTTCTAAGTTATCAGGCACATGATAGAATGCAGAATAAAACATGTTTCACTTAAACTCACAATTATTTTGCCTTTTTAACTTTCCAGATTTATTTCTCCTCTCTTATAATATGTTTCTGTAGACTTTTCCTTTGACTCATGTTTTGAGATTCCACCTCTTATCTTTCCTATTTTCTCTTCTGGTTAACAAGAGATCTTAGAACCAAGATAGCTAAAATGTGTTCTGAGAAGGTAAGAGGTGTGAAGTCAGCTCATTTCCTCCTGAATCTTAATGTTCTACATTCTATTTGTCAGGTTTATTATTTAATTTTAGACTTCTTCCTCTGCATATATTCACCACTAGTGTACCACAAACAGAGGGGAACACAGGTGCATCTGGTTGGGAAAATGCCCAAAGTTGGAGGTTTTGCTGTTGGTGCCCACTCAGCAGGATTAAATTGTTTGCGGGTAGTTTTTATCGCGCGCTAACAGGTGGCGCGTGGCGCGGGCCATTTTTGCTAATTTTTTGCGCAAATGGCAACGTTCAGTAAAATCACGATATCTTTAGTTTACGTATTTATACGTTACCCGCATTCTACCGCTAGTCTATAAAAAAACGTATTAATACGTGTCCCGCGCTCTACTTACTACCAGTCAACGTAAAACGTATAAATACGTTTCCCGCATACAATGTGTTTTGTGTATTCTTGAAGTCAGGGTCTATGTCTTGATAATTTTGTTTAGTGCCTAGCATATTTGCTGTATACCAGGCTATTTAAATAAATGTTTGATAATGATATTAAAGTAAGCAGTAGCCTTTTCCATCTCAAAACCATGTTGTCATATACCAGTGATGGCGAACCTTTTGAGCTCGGCGTGTCAGCATTTTGAAAAACCCTAACTTAACTCTGGTGCCGTGTCACATATAGAAATTTTTTGATATTTGCAACCATAGTAAAACAAAGATTTATATTTTTGATATTTATTTTATATATTTAAATGCTATTTAACAAAGAAAAATCAACCAAGAAAATGAGTTCGGGTGTCACCTCTGACACGCGTGTCATAGGTTCGCCATCACTGTCATATACTTTGACACTTTGGGTCTTAAGTTCATAAATTTTTACTATCTCAGTATTGATAGATTTCACTTATTTTAGAAAATATCACCAGTACTAAAATGAGAGTTTATGATAATAAAGAGAATTCTTAGCTAATAATAATGAATGCTCATGGAGTGCTTATTGTATGCCAAGCACTCTGCTAATCCTTTACATGCATAGTGCCCCGAATTCACCAACAGCCCTCTGAAGTAAGAATGGTTACTTCATTTTCCTCATGTTATAGAACAGAAAATTGAAACTTAGAGAAGTTCCGTGACTTATTCAAGTTCACATCGGTAGTATATTACAGAATTGAGACTTGACACTAAGTCTGACTACAATGCATGTGCCCTTGATCAGTACACCTAACATTTGCACATTTTACCATTTGCAAAGCACATTCACGACATTACCTTATTGGCAGTTTAGTGTAATGCTTTGGAGCCAGATTAGTTGGTGAAATTTCTGGATCCACAAATTATTTTTTGTGTGACATTGTGCAAGTTACTTAACCATTTTGTGCCCTAATTACCTCACCTATAAAATAGGGATTCCAGTACTTCTTAACCTCAAGTTGTGGTGAGGATAAAATGAAAAACACATTTAAAATACTTAGTACAGTGCGTGGCATGTTACAATAAATGTTAGGATTACTATAAGTGATCAAAATGTGGGAATTTTTTTATTACCTCTTAAGTTTAGAAAGTTGTTTTTTTTTTAAATATATTTTACTGATTTTTTTTTTACAGAGAGGAAGGGAGAGGGATAGAGAGTTAGAAACATAGACGAGAGAGAAACATCGATCAGCTGCCTCCTGCACACCCCCCACTGGGGATGTGCCTGCAACCAAGGTACATGCCCTTGACCGGAATCGAACCTGGGACCTTTCAGTCCGCAGGCGGAGGCTCTATACACTAAGCGAAACCGGTTAGGGCAAGTTTAGAAAGTCTTAATGAAAATTTTATTGCTACACATCTTAATTTTAACTCCTGCTTTTATTTAATTGAGACAATGAAGATAACTATATAATTTTCTATCAGTTCTTTTCTAATCAGATATTACTAGTTTATTATTCTTACTCATAAGTATTTATCTTGCAAAAGGTTAAGCACATTCATTGTAAGTTACACTTTATTTTTATGGTTACTCCCCAGAGTAACCCATCTGTTTTAAAATTTCCATTATATGTGTTCTGTCACACAAATATTTTATTCTTGGTCATGTGTAAAATATTGATATGGAATACATATTAACAGCTGGAATAGTTCTATAAAACAAAAGTAGATATGTATTATTTGAGAGAAAGCATTCAATTATGGAAAGTATGGATTCTTCAGAAGAGCACGATTTAGGCTAAGTTAGGAGTTTCTTTGGCGAATGTGTCATGAAAAGATAAGAAGAAATGACACTTTTCAGCAGTCTTGCCAATGGTAGTCATTAGTGGCAGTACTCCAAATTTCAACTGAGGCCCAAGCACTGTTAAATTATCTGCTGAGAGAGTTTACCCACACACCTGACTGTTACTGATTTAGCTTTTTTTTTTTTAATCCTCTCCTGAGGATACGTTTTTTTAGGGAGAGGAATGGAGAGAGAGCGAGAGCACGCACTCGATTGGTTGCCTTCCATACAAGCCCTCACTGGGGAGCGAACCTGTAATCTAGGTATATACCCTGACTAGGAATCGAACCCACGACCCTTTGGTGCACAGAATGACACTCCAACCAACTGAACCACCCAGCCAGGGCTGATCTTGCCTTTTTAACAATAAGATGATGATTTTTAGAAATTTTAGTGTTTAGAGACTGGTATAATTTGCAACACTGGAGAACCTTGTTTCTAGGTTTGGATGAACCTTCATATCCTGAACTTCAGTTCAAGTGTGTGGCTTCTTAATAATTCTGATATTCAACTACTTGTGTCAGGTGTTTGGAGCATATTTCTGGCACATGGAAT